GTTCTCATTAATTCTACAGCCAGCCATGGTTATAAATACTGGGGTTATCAACACTGGGGTGTGTGAGGATACTGTGAAGGAAGTTGTGACTCTCTGGAGCATCACAATTGGAGCAGTGGACTGGCTGCAGGAGTTGTGGCCTGTGGAGAGAAGCCCATGCAGGAGCAGGTGTTCTGGAATGATCTGTGACCCTGTGGGGATCCATGCTGGCAAAATCTATTCTTGAAGGACTGCAGCCCATGGGAAGGACCCACTTTACAGAAGCTGATGAAGGACTGTTTCCCATGGGAGGGACCCCACACTGGCGCAGGAGATGAGAGTAAGAAGGAAGGAATGGCACAGACAGTATGTAAAGAACTGACCACGATCTCCGTCCTGTCCTCCTGCACTAATCAGGGGACAGTGGTAGAGAAATTGGGAGTGAAGTTAAGCCTGGGAAGAAGGAAGGGATGGAATGAAGGTGATTTTAGATTTGTTCTTATTTCTCTGTATCCTGCTCTGCTTAATTAGAAATAAATTAAACTAATTTCCCCAAGTCTGTTTTGTCCGTGATGGTAACTGGTGACTGATCTCCCTGTCCTTGGCTTGACCCATGAGCTTCTTATTATGTTTTTCTCCCCCCATCTTGCTGAGAAGGGAGAATGTTAAGAGCAGTTGAGTGGGCAGCTAGCAGCCAGGCAAGATCAACCCTCCACAGAATGCTAAGCTGTTGTTATGTACTCATCAGTTTTCCAGGCATTTCCATAAAATCTGAAGTCTAAATGAGTCTTGCCAGATCTTGATAAATGCTTTAGTTACTTTGTTATACAACACACAGACTCACAAGATTAACAAATAATACTATATTCAAATCTTCATGACATGCATATAACTCACCATTCTCCAGTAGAAATTTTGTTTTCTTTTTAAATGCTTATATTCTAGTTCTGGACATCTTAGTTGCCTTCGAGCACACATTTGAAGCTGAGAAACCATCAAAAGTTGGTATATGTGTGTTTGTGCAAGTAAAAAACTATTTTAAGTCATTTATCCCCTCCAGTCTTATTTACATACAGAATCTCAATAACAGTTTTGGGTTTTTTTGTGGAGGTTGTTAAAATTCTAAATGGAAACCAGACATTCTAATGTTGTCTTCATATGAAAGAATTAGTGGATTTTAGAAACATCTTGAAAAGACAATGACATTTTGAACCACCATCAGTTTGTCAAATTATAGCTGTGTTGTTTTCAAACTACTGTCTTACTTGTTTCACAGCTCTGTGGGAATAGAATAAATAAAAAAAGTGGAAGAGAAGAGGACTTAGGAAGATGTATGCACCTCTGGAAAAGTGAGTACCATGCAAGTACTGGATGCAAAGAAAACCTTACACTAATGTCACAAGGTAGAGGAGGAGGTCCCTGACAATACAACATTCTGTTTTCCACAATGCTAAATCATCTTGTTGAATAGTCATTGCATAAAGGTATTCTGTTGCAAAATGTATTCTGTATTACTGAATATCAGAAGTCCAGTGGGAAAAAGACAGATGGACATGGAGGGCAGAAAACACAACCTCAGCAAAGCCAAGAAGACAAGCCAGAAAGCAACTGGGGAGAAAATGTAAGGTTTGTGCAAACTCTAGAAAAGGTACATTCCCATTCCTTTGGTAGTTCTGCCTCTAGCACATCCCACCTCACCCTCCAGACCCACAGCTCTGCAGCATTAACAGATCTCCCACACACCTCCAATGTCATTCTCCTGAGGACGATTAATCCTGAATTAATCCTGCCCTCATAACTCTGTACAATCTGCAGAGAGTTTGAAGATTTGAAAAGGAGCTATTGACATTTTAATTGATAGAAGGGGAAAAAAAAAACCCCTGACAGATGACCAATAACTTGCAGCTGCTGAGAAGACAAAGGAAGCCGTGCATCAGAGAAGAACCATCACGCTTTGTGTTCCCTTATGCCTCCAGCTATAAGACGATGGCAATGCTTACGGCTGTGGAAGCAATATTAGTTTCCTGAGCAATGTCAGTTACAGAGCTCCCCCAATGGCTCCTAAGTATGATTCCAAATTTTTATATTGCACCTTGTACGGTTTTCCTAATACTGCATTTAACAACAGAAAAAGTTCACACTGACAGTTTTAGGAAGTTTTTACTTTTTTTGACTTATGTCAGCAGTGTATTCCCTTTGTGACCTAAAATGTCTATCAAGCATTTCCATTGAGAAAAACATTGAAATGGTATTTAAATATACACTTATTTTCCCTTTCATGGAGTAATTGGAACAATTTTTCAACAGCAGTCTGTTTATTAAGACTGGAGGGTGTCATGCTGAAATTTCACTACTAGACGACATTAACCAGACACAGATGTGTTAGAGGGGAAAATACACGTGAGTTTCTACATTATGTTGGCAAATGAATTACAGTAAATAGCCAAAGAGGACATGATACATTCATTTTCTTGGTAAAAGCAGATCACATAAAGGTGATGAGTAGCTGTATTTTATTAAAATATAATTTGTATTAGCTAAACTGGATGTTGGATGTCCGACTGGTTACACAACAGTGACTTGCATCACTGTATCTTTTTTTTTTTTTTCTTGCAATGGAAAGAAACAAAAAGCCCCCTACCACTACACTGTAGGCATTTTTATGCACATGTAATTACATAAGAAGTTGTCTCCTTCCTTCCACTGTGCTCAAGGAGCTGTTAAAGTGACTTGTACGTCCTTGGCATGGAGCTTACATTGGTAAGCACATACTTGGTTTCAAGAATCTGCTTCCTCATTGCCTTTTTCTTCTGCCTCATTTTGCATGAAGTTAGACCATGGGCTAGAGTCTCTGAAAATCCTGTCTGTGCTTGTATGTTTCAACAGGTTTAGACTTATACCTTAGAAACCATAAAACACATTAGTCTTCTCCATGGACATGAAAGGTATCACATTCATTTTGAATGGTACTTAATAGAGCTGATACCAGCTAGGAGCTGAGAATCAAGGCAACTGTCAATATTGCTGCTTCTTCCTATGCAATGTCCTTGAAGAATCAATATTACACACATTACATCAAGATTCCATTTCAGGGATAAAAAAGTTCAAGTTACAATCACTGCTGTAGTAAAAGCAAACCTGTTTTTGTTTTCTAGACGTATCCTAAACCGAAGAATCAGGAACATGAACTTATAAGCCTGTTGCCTCTAGAAGTTTGATCTGGACAGAGATAAATTGCCTGTACAGAACAGAGTTAACTCTTGTCCAACAAGTCCTTTTGTTCTGGACTTGTCTTATTTCACAGCCTTAAGCTTGTGGCACTAAGAAAAAGTTAGAACTTCTGGCAAATGCTAAACCATCCCTCTGTTTTTGTTACTTTGGTAACCTTACTTTATACAGCAATTCAGCACTTCCTTATTCTCAGTGGCATAACCTGCTAAAGCCCTAAAATTTTATTCCTAGAAACATATTACTGCCAAATTTTACTGACACATCTGCAAGTGTTGATCTCCAACATGCACGTGGTTACAAACTTTTGAGGCAACTCTGACGAACCCGTTGGCTTCAGTTGAATTTAATACCTTGGAAAAGGCTGGTTTTATGTATTAAAAACTGGAATTAAAAGCTTGACTGGACAAAGGCCTGAGCTCAATGTTGTCCTTGCTCAAAGCAGGAATTCTGACTAGATGATCTGCCAAGATTTTTTTCCAATATGGATGATTATGTGATATAACTCTTTTCATGCTCATAGAAACCTTTAAAATATAAATGAGGAATTGAACATTTTGCCCAAGTTCCTGCATGTAGTTTCATTCAACACATCCCTGAAGAAAGCTGAGGAATTTGAAAAATCCATCCTGAAGTCTATACAATAAAATATAACACAAAAATCAGGATTCTTTTACTTGCCTCTTCAGTTAACTACAAAATATTTACAGTGAGTTATTTTATTTCATTGCTTCCATTCGATACACTAAATTTGCAATTAACATTTCAAAATAAAACCAGATCCCAAGTTCACTGTACTTTCCATTTCAACACTTACACATTTAAAATACATGAAAGTTAGGTTAATAGCAAAGTAGACCCACAAATGAGGTAAAGTCAGAATTTATGAACAGCAACACCTTTTAAATTATTTTGCCATTACTACTTTTCGTGATAACTACTATACAATAATTAACGATTAAAATGCACATCAATTTACAGTATTCACAAAGATAGACTTGCCACATGAAAGTGTAAAAAAGGCAGCAGCCTCTCATAATAGTTTAAAAGCAACTTTCCACAAGCTTGTTTTATTTGCTAAAAATAATTCTCCTCCCCAACTTTCATTGTATTTACTGATGAAACCAAGGAGGACTAAACTTCAAATGAACAGAACACATTTGCAGGCTGAAAGTCTTGATTTACTAGAGGATGAGGGCAAAAATGGTACATTTCACTTATTTGCTTGCACATAAGCAGAAATAATTCTGCTCCCAAATTATCTAACTCAACAGACTTTAAATGAAGGACATCAGTGCTAAACAGTGAGTAGATAATCGCATACATCCCTGTCAGATCTAAAAAAAGAGAAACTCCAGAAATAACCAATTAATTTTTTACACTTTCTATACACTTTGAACACTGATACTACATACATTTTAAGGTTATTCTACTCTTATATGAAGTAGCAGAGTAAAACTAAACCCTGATGTTACTGGTGGAAGTCAACTAAAAATGGCACTTACACATGCACACATCAGCTTTTAACTTCCTTTATTCACACATTTTATTTACTGCAAGCCTTGCAAACACTGCAAGACAGACAAATTTGCATTCTGTGAAACTTTGCCCAAACCCAAGCTTTTTTTTTTGTACAAAGCAAAGGATTCTTCTTTGATGTCTTCTGCCACACTGCAGCAAATTAAGTACTTTTATACATACCTGTAAATTATAACATTTATGTTCAGTTAAGTTACAGTTTCTATTTTCCTCACAGCTCCATTAACATCTAAGTTGGAAACATCTTTAAAAGGCTTTGAACTAACAGCCCAAATGAAATATCAAATGTGATGTTTGTAAAGCAGTTAAGAATTCATACCCGTTCCTTAAGTCAGTTACCTGGTAAGAGAAAAAGTAATCCTCAGTCCAACCACATTTGAAATTCAATCCCCTTCTGTGTGACTACATATTATATATCCATTTTGTGTCTATACTTATAAATGTATACAGTACTTTTTAATTACACTTAGGAAACTAATATCCCCATTTTTAAAGTTCATTTACACTGTAAGGAGAATTCACGGAGTGGATTCTCCAAGCTTAATTTTCTAAGCCATTTTAAACAATAATTAGGTTAGTAAGTGAATCATGTCCACTATGCTAAATCCACACCTGAAGAGACTAAGAAACATTTTGAAGCAGTGTGGAGTAAATGACTTTGGTAAGCTGTAAAAGTGCTACATGCAAGGTATACTGTACTATAACAGCTCCAAATCCCTTATAAAAACCTAGCATTCCTTCTTCCCGTTTTATAGTATTTATGCAGTCTCTCATTCCCTCATACTGAGTGTTGATCGGAAGCACTTCATAGCCAAGGTCTGTATTGTCGATTATTGTGCGTGTCCCTTGAATATGAAGGCGGTGTAAAATGGTCTCCAGTGGGTAGAGCATGACATCAGCACAAAGGCTAGCTGCAAAGCTAGCAATAAGTTCTGGAAAATATGCATCCAGCATGCTCTGCACAGAAGAAGAGCTCTCAGTTGGAAGATTGTGGGAATTATCCCTTTTCAGAACAAACAAAACAAGCTTCTGGACAATAGAACTGATGACATAGTGAAGAACTCCATGTAGAGCAGTTGGAAAAGTCAAGACCATCAGAGGAAGGAGACGCTTGCTATGGGGTACTCCCATGCCTACAACTCTGCCAATTCCTTCTTTCACGCAATCCAAGATGCCAGGATTATCTCGAATTATTTCGCTCTACAAGCACAAAGAAATAGTTACAACTTGAGCTGCCTGTTTCCCCAACCTTGCCGACATCCACCTCCACCCTGTATTGCTGCTGATCTTTGTAAGAGTTAAACATTTGCATGCAATTGTAGATATACCTCTATACTGATATAAATTATTTAACACTCTTGATAGCATTCCAGTAAACTTGCTTTTAAAGAAATGAAGACATCTTGAAGAGTTTTCATTTAATGGACATTCCAGTTATTTGTGTTACTACCAAAGAAACTTAACATTCACTCTGCTGCTGAAATATCAGTCTGCAAAACAGACATGTTGAAAAAGCTTACTTCCACAGCAAAATGCCAGGAAGTATGGTTCTAATTTAAAAATCCTTTTCTTTAAGGAGTATAACTACTAATTTGAATAAGTGTCTTAATTTTAATTTAATAGGTTCAGCTCTGAACATTTCCATTCCGTTATACATCTTAGAAAGGAGGTAATTATTTTGTTCATACAGTAAAAATAAAGAATTCACTTAGAAATTATTTACAGTTTTATTTTACCCAAGACTGTAGGACTGTTTCCCCTTCTAATGCTTATATAAAATCAGAGTTTTATCTCTGTTACACCCAGTATTCAGGATTTGGGAGCTCTCTGAGTCCATGCTGCCTGTGTCCTGATGTCATGCGAGGCAAAACCACCAGAGTATTTCTCAGTACCCTGGGGAAGAAATAACAGCCTGCAAAGCTGCCATGGTCAGTGTGAGCAGAAGAAAAAGTAGTTCAAATACTTGAGAATGTAATGTTGTTCCACACTTTTAGTATAAGTTAAGCATCATAAACCCTACCCAATCCTATTCTGTTCCATATCGGTCTTGTCACTGCATTTCAAAACTGTACTTGCTTTTGTCAAACATGCCACCATGTGGTTGGAAATGTAAAGACAAAAATCGGAGCATTACTGAATTATTGAATATTGAATAATTCAACAGGAGACTGGAAGAGGGTTTCTTAAATAGAGAGTATCTTTAGAGAACAGGGGCTTGCTTTTGGGAAATCTACCTACATGACTGTATGCACAGACATTTGATCTCACCTGTCCTGTTAGTCCATAATACGCCCAGTTGAGACAGAACAGCCTTCCTAGTACATTATGGCTCTTTTAAGTTTAGAACCTCTGTACACAGGAATCCTGCCCCTTAAGACTACATGCCTCTGAAGTACACACCGAGACTAAGAAACTGTAAAAATCAGCCTTGTTTGCCTCTTCTCCACAGAAAATGCACCATTTTGCAGACATATATGAGCAGCTGAACTATAGGTTTAAACAGCTAGATCTAAATCGGTCTTGACAGTACTTAGAGCTTGTCTATACTAAGAATGATAATTACTATTTTGATGACTGAATGACATGAGTATCTACCATCACCCTCCATTCACTTCACGGTAGGAATTCCATTAGCTGCACAAAGGTACTATCGTGTTAATTAAGAGCAACTCATTTAGAGAGATAGCTGGAAGAATTACCATGGACGATTTCTGCATAGCTAAACCCTGTCTCTCTCTCCAGAAAAGAGATTCAACATCTGTCACTCAAAGTCAATCTGCAACACAGTGCTATTGGTTACTCTGCACTGTTAAAAACAAGTTAAGCTCTATCCTATGTGACTGGTCCAGATATTGATTTTCTTGGCTAAGGAAGGACTAGATGAAAAATTAAAAACAAAAAGCTGACTGAATGAAAGTAGACGTGAAATAGTAAAAGTTCAGTATTTTGGCAAAACAAAGCTGGAAAAGCTTTTTAGTTGTTATACAGAAAGGGGTCACTGCAACAACTTGCCCAACAAGCCTTTTAAAAACTATACATGAGAAAAACTTCTTTATGTTTTATCTATTAGAACTTACAGACGTAACTTGTCCTTATTTTCATAGACAATACATTCCAACTATCTGTATTAAATGTTAAATTAAATTCTAGAGTTAGATTTCAGACAGTATTTCTAATATATCCATAAGAGTAAATACTTTTCCTAAGTTAGTAAGTCATAGTCTCAAGCAAAGCAAATGCAACTACTGCAACATAAACCTGAATCCGAAGCTAAAGACTCATTTCTCCACACAGTCTACGCAGACAATAATGGTATATTTTAAAATGTTGTAAATATACATAAGTTACCTGTACAGTTTCAATCAGGCTGGCCGAATAAAAAGGCATTGCTATCACATGTGTTAAACTGTAGAAATTAACAAGATAAGAATTAAAGTCATGACAATACTGTAATTTTAGCCAAATATGCATCTGAATGTTGACAAATTTATCTACCAAGTCACGCCTGAGAGAAAATTAACAAACCATAATTCAATTTCTAAAAGGCACATCAACAAGTGAAGATGAGCTTCAGTCTGAAGTCTGTTAAATCGACTTCTATGTGACCAGACTGATTCAGGTGTCTCCGACATAATTTGAAAATAACTATTAGAGCCCTGTCAAGTAACCATGCATACTAAATTAATGTGTATATAGTTGTTTTATTGATGCTTAGATACTAAGACATTAGGTAATAATACATTACACTTACCCTTTAAGCAGAAGGTGTCCACCTATCTGCTTCAGGTTCCATTTATGTGAAAGCTCCCTAAAAAGAAAAGTATTTACCTTAATATGGATAAGAACATGTTATTTTCAATAATTTATTTCATGGCTGTCAACATTCAGTTTTCATACTGGTGTTCCACTATTGGTTTACACTGCAGGATTTCCCACAGTGGAAAGACATCAGATACATATTTATTAAATCATGCTTAACTTCTAGCAGTTATTCGAGCCTGCTAGGCATTCTACCAAAAAAGCTTTTCATTATTAATAAGGTGTCTAGCTCTCACACCTACTGGCTTCTGTGCTTTACACTTATTATGCATCCTTAGTTACTAACTCTGAAAGCCATTTTCAAGGAATATTAGATTATTTCAAAATCTCAATAGTTTTTCTTTATCAACATACATGTTTTTACACTGTTTTGGTTATACTTTTCCTGTTCTTTGTGGTTATGCTTGCCCAGCTGTTCTGTCTTTCCTGAAAACCTAAATCACATTCTGACACAATTAGACAAGATCAAATCAAGAACAACAGGTGAGAATAGAAGCTGCAGAGTAATTCTGTACAAACTTAAGTCTTTTGACTTATGACCAGTCTTTACTGTGCTGATGAAACAAAAGGAGAAAACGTGTTTGATAGAAAGGTAACTTTTAAAAAAGGACCTGAAAGTACTATTTTCTAGTTACTTCAAAATATGAGCAGTAAATGTTAACCACACTCCACTTGACAGAAAATGTAATTCCACCTGGCTCAAGGTAACATTCAAATACCAAATACCTTTATAATAAATTTTTTAAGTACTCTAGCTATGAGGTAAAGATATTTCTCCCTGAAAAGTTGGACACATTAGACCACACATTTTTAATAACAAGAGTATTCAGTTTCAATTCTTGTTCAGGAATTAGTCACCTGCTGCCTGCAGTTATAACAACTCCCATGCAAGAAAGGAAACTCTACTCTAAGAAACATTAGTTTCTTGCTAACACGTTAGTGTTAGTAAGAATTATCACTTTCCCAAGTGCTATGACTTTAGTCAGTGACTAAACAAGGTGAGATCATTCACCATTACCTATTTTGGACACATCCACTGAGTGTAATACTAAAAAAGATGAGGGAAATAGACCCAGCCAAACTCATGTGTGAAAGCCTAGCCTGTCAGTCCACTAGGTGTAACTGTTCCTGCAGTGGAAGCAGAATTAAGGAATGAGTTTGTCTAGTACACAACCACATACAACTTGTCACAAAAAGATTAACACCCATTTCTGGGCCCCTCTCCTAAAGCAGGGGGATTATTTTATGATATTGTAATATAGAATTGGAGCTTACATCTCACTTCCTTCTGTCCTTTTGAGCTTGATAATGATGTTAATTAAGATTTTTGTATCAGATTTGCTAGCACTGCTGCTATAATCAATAGCTTTCAGCACCCTGTGACAGCCAAAACATGCATGCTACCATTAAACAGGAGGGAAATCACCCAGTAAAAAATTGCATGGGGCTGTGCACATACAAGACAACCACTTCAACCAGATCACTTCCTGAATCCAGTTCATTTCATCACTGTTCACATACTGTGTTGGCACAAGGGTGAAGTAGCACTGAGTAAGGAATGAGAAGGTACTAAGCAGAAGGAATTGCTTCTTTGGCAGCTGCACAAGCTTACTCTTCCAGTTACTGAACAACTAGCCAACAGAAGAAAATCCTTGTTCACACTGGACAGAAATCAGAACTATGAAAATATAAACACTATATTGCATCTCATGAACCCAACTTAAAAACAATAAAACACGCTCAGAGCAAAGTATATTGCTGAGAATTTCAGTTACATTTGAGACAGAACTGACTAAAAAGCTTAAATACACGCCCTGCATAACTGAAACACGAAATGCTTTTCCTAGTGCTTTTAATGAATGGCAGAACCTGCAAAGACTTGTTTTTATTACTATGCATACATGTATCAGTTTGATTCAGCCTGCGTGTATTTCTTATCTTTAAAATTAGGTCAGATTCCATGTTCCTGTGTGGACTTTGTCCACACTTTAAAAATAGATGCTTATCTCTTCTGAAAGGAAACACGAATCTCCAGCCCACTGGTCCATGTACACTTAACCAGCTGTAAATCCAACTACTTGCCTGCCTCCCTATTTAATTTTCCAAAACAGATATCTTAAATACATATCTTAAATTATACTTAGAAATACATAAATCATTATAAATATAAATTTGTATTTACTGGCTTAAATGTGTACCCTGCAACTGTTAAAAACAATCCTGAAGTTGTAGTTCAGCATAAAAAGTAGTAGAGTCACAACTAACAAATTATGACTGAACTACTCTAGCCAAAGACAGACACAGTAAAGTAGAATGACGACTACCTCTTTAAATGAAGGAACTTATTTATAGTTATAATCCCTTTATTATGAGAATACTGAACAATGTACATATAGTTGCTTGTAAAGACAGACAGAAGACAAAGCTGTAAGTCACACAGACTCCTATTTACTATGTCTTATAATTTATTAATTCTGTCTCCTCACCTACTAAGGGCAGTGAAGATGTTCAGCAAGACATCAGTGCCGGCTCATTAGCTGTTAAAATTCCCTCAAGTTTCCTGTATTTAGATTAATGAAACTAGAATGTTTTACTTTAGACATGGTATTTGCTTGTGCCACACAATACACACCAAAATACCTTGGCAAAGGTGTAAATTCACTGATGATGCCTTCTGTTCCCAGGGTTATGCCCTGAACAATGAAAGTGCTGCCCATTCCTTTCCAGAGAGCTCTTGGACCCTGTGTTTTGAAATATGGAACATACTTTAATTCATGCAACATATTTCCTAATTTTTATAAAATCTTATCAATGTTTATAAAATTTCAGCAAATCAAACTGCAAAGGGCTATAACTATACAATGAAACTTCATTAAGTTCAGGAAACAACAAATTATTTAACTCTGAAGAAACTTCTGTTTTTCAGTATTTTCAAACAGTTGTCAACAAACTTGGAAGCATAGCTCTCACTTAATATCCTGTATTATAAACTTAACACCGTTTTCTAGGGACAAAATGAGCTTGCAATGTTAAAGCACATCTGTAAGAAATCCAGATGTTCTCACTCTCTGAGCTTCAGGATTGCCACTGCTATACAGAACTAGAAACTCATGCAATACTGTCTTTGGAAGTAGTAGTTTTGATAGTCTCATTATTCACACAGAGATTATTTTTTAGAATCCTACCAAAAAAAAACTAGTTTCGGGACATTTTTTTGTTCTCTAACACCTGCCAATTTTCCAGATTAAGCGCTGTATATCTTTAAAAAAAATTACAACAATCTCCTTGAAACATTCCTGCAACCATTAACAAACCCTAACAAGGGCCATGTTTTTAACCACCAGCTACACAAGGAGTTAAAGATATCCACATACATATGTGCTACAGTAACCACCACTGCTGAGATACAGCCTGATCCCAAATACTGACCTGAGTCTTATTGATACTGTACATAATATTCACAATAGTAAATGGAGTGAGATGATAATTCCGAGCATGATAGTTAACCTGTCAAAATATAAATTATTTTTATAAGTACACTGGCAGATGTTGCAACTACAAAGAAAAAAAGCACTTCCAAAACATGAACTTTGTGAAGATCAGCTGAAGTGACCAAAATATGAATAAAATTTCAGTGAGAATACAGGAAACAGGCAGGAAGTTTAAGTTTTGTATGTGAAAAATGTAAACAATAAAGCAAGCATAAACCAGAAAATACTGTAAACCAAGTGACCATCAGTGGGGAGCTGGAAGTTGACCCACAGACTCTGAAGCACTTACTTGCTGTAATTAATTTTCCACTACCCAAACAAAAATTACTGAGAATGTTCATGGTAAGTTGAATTTCAGAATGGAAAACATGTATGCTACAAATAAAACATGTTAATGTAGCAGAGTCTCCCTAAGAACTGCAAAGCTTCCTTATTCTCTACAGCGTATGAAAACAGAGAAATATTGCAGTACCCTGGAGCTACGACTGGAAAAGGTATGAAAGACATACCTGACACTGGCGACGTAGAACAATGCAAGGATGTGCCAACACATTTTCTGTAAATAGGCTTTAAAAGAAAAGTGTATTTAAAACATAGGATGCAATCGTACAACTTATTAGAAAAAGTATGTTATTTTCCTCTAACATTAAAACAGTATTTGGAAAAACTATACATTAGCTAGTGAATTAATGACCATAATAATCAGGTAGCATTTTGAATGGCTACCTGATAGCCTGCCTACACTATAAACAAGCAAGTGTCAAAAATCCTGATACACACATTCATTATGAAGAAGCCCACATTTAGAGTATGTGGGGAGGAAAAGAACAGTTTCACCACATCACCTCTACAGATCCTCTAGTCTAACTCTCCTACTAATGCAGGATCCTCTGGGGCACATTACTCAGTGCAGCCTCCAAGCAGGTTTTAAGTATCTCCAGAGAAGGGGACTCCACAGCCTCCCCGGGCAGCCTGCTCCAGTGCTCTGTCATAGTAAGGAAGTTTTTCCTCATATTTAAATGGAACTTCCTGTGTTCAAGCTTGTACCTGTTCTGCATATTCCAGCTGCTACCTATTAGGCCCTCCCAGTAGTCAGCTTAACTTCACAAAAACTAACCTATTCTTTTGGGTGTTTTCTGTAAGATTTCTGATTTGAACCTTGCTACAAATGCAAAAGCAGAAACGGGAAGATTTGCTCTCAGAAATGAAAGCAAGTTGATGAACTCTACTTCAACAAACTGAATAGCCCCATCAAGGGGTCTGAATGAACTCGTGGAGCCACTGCACAGAAGAGGGCCAGGCAGTTTCATGAGATAGGATGATTTAATTTGATCAACTCATTACTGGCCAAAAAAGGTTATTCCTAGTCCTTCTTTATCGTTTCCCTCTTTGGTTCAGTAAGCTGGTGCCTGCTGGCTTTCACAGCTAGTTAACTGCCAAGTAAATCAAACTAACTGAAACAGCAAAAAAGAATCCAGCTCTTTAATTGACTCTGTCTTCTGCATTAGCAAGCCAAACTAGTTAACAGAGATTCTGATGGGCATCAAAGTTAACAACAATACGGTAAAGAGCAGGACAGGCTGGTGGTCAAGTATGAGGTCCTCCTCTAAGTGGAAGTACACTCTAAGAACCTCAAATGACAGCTTCTCATGTGGGTCTAACTGGGTAAGTGAAACAAGTACTGTCATGTTGTGAGGAAAGAACTTTTCTGAGAAGTCTCACATTCAGTTCAACAAGAGTAAAACTTTAAAAAAAAAAAGTTTTCAAGACAGAAAAACCCCACCTCCCATGCCTTCACAGCTTGCATGTTCATTGTCCAAGAAAAAACTAAGCTTATCATGATCCTTACATTTGACAAATCAAACTCTGAAAATGTTATCAAGTACAAAGTCCACCACTTTTTCAAAAACACTATCAATCACTGCCACCATAATAAAGAATAAAACGATTATAGGATCATTTGGAAAGATCAACAATAGTATTCCAGGATACTTTGAAAATATACTTGAAGGCATTTTCATCTTCATACAAAACATTTGCATTACCTAAAAATACTAACAGAAGTGGCAAAAGTGAAACCAGTTTTCTAGCAGTATTTTCAGACCGCTCTGACAGGGTACACATACCCTGGGCATGCTGTAGGAAAAACTGTTTCTTATTGCTGATTAAGCAATTTTGAGAAACACTGCATTTAAGGAGACCAGAAACCGACGTGGATTTCAGGTAGACTTCTACAGGCATTTCAACTGCATAAAGTTTACTGGCATAAAAACACAACACAGAAGTGTAGATAGGGAACATAAGACAACAGTAGCTTTACTACTTCAAATTATTACATGACTCTTACCTTGCAAGGCCAATACCAAAGCCTGCAAATCTGTTCAACTGCTCTGAAAAAAACGCAGAGATTATACAGCAGTGATAATCACAAAGGAGGAGAAAATGCCATACAGATGATTTGCTAAACTGATTTTATACTGTCCTTCTTCAGAAAATTAGAAGCACTAAACCACAAGGTCTATGACAATTCAACAAGAGGATTACAAAAAGTTACTCCCTCAGCAACACTTGCACTTCAAACTGCATTTCAGTTTATACATACTTTTGTTAATAAAATCATCCTTATCTTAAAACAGCTACATGAGAAAAAAAGAGACAAAGTGAACAGTAAAACAAAATATTTTAATACATACAAAATCTAAAGCAAACCATGAAAAAGTGAGCATGCACAACAGTTTACAATAATTCTGCCACATGAATTTAAATATCTGAGGTAAAAATTAATTTTAACCCCAAAAATATTAAAAAGAGAAACGCTGAAAAAGATAACACAGAACGCCAGTGATGAGGTAGCAAGCATCAACATGATGCAAGTCCTCAAGCGAGTTGTTTTATCTCCAGTCCATTGCAAAAATCCAGTTAGCACAGAACTGTCAAAACTGGCTTAAACTCTGTTGTCTGCTACCAGACCGACAGTGACGTGCTGGCAAATATGAGATTTTTAAGAAGAGCTTCAGAAATGGAAAGGCAACTAAAAATTGACGCTCAGTCCTGTAATCTACCATAAGCGTGGGGCACTGTCAGTCACCACTCAGATGTGGGAGCCCTCCTAGCAGGAGTGGCAAGACAGTCCACACTCGCAGCAGCTGGACTCTGATACAGCAACTCCAAAATACAGTATCAGCACACCTTCCATGAGTAGATAGCACTAAAAAAAAAGGGTAGAGTCGAACTGTTTAAGAATGTTTACGTGCTGCTTCCACGGATGAAAGTCCAGCCAAGGGCTGCAAGACCTGGAACAAATCCACTGCGCTAGAAGACTCACTCATTAATCTAACTCAGCTTCAAATAAGTGACTCTTTCATAAGACTTCACTACGTAAACTGATCCAGCACGTCTCTTTAATTGAAGGCGACAGTACTGAGCAGCCGAGCCCTCTTCCTCCTAGCGGATGTTTTTCTCTGGCGCTCCCGCGTCACCAACCCGCGACAGCAACGCGCGTCCCGCGGGCC